TTTCATCAATTCTCTCCTTCATGATCTTAAATTGATCAGATGTCAATGGACCTGAAGAACACGTAAAGATATCCGTCTGATTTGTAAACATCTTAAACTGGTATGGCGAGTTTTCAATTCGATCTCCCATCAGAAGCTCACCAAGATTCTCGGCACTGTCCTTAACACCCTCTTTAGGCTTACAAAACGGCAAACTATAATATCCAAATGGCAATTCGGTCTCGATAGAAGTAAGAGAATTAACCTTCACCGACAACAAGTCGCCCACAACGTATTTGTGGGGGTAGCTACCAGGAAGGTAAAATCCATATCCGAGTTGAAAAATCAAAGAACAAGCTAAAACCAAGATCCGAAATCGACTTAACAACTTCATTCTCGACAGACCCATACTCGATTTGAATCGGATCTGAAAACCCCAGATTCAAGAAATATCAATGCCGAATCAAAACAAGCAAATAGACAATGATTTAATCGAATTCGTAATGAATTCAAGAACAAATACTACAAAAAATTAGGGATGAAAATAGAAAAAACGGGAAGTTATATCAAAATGCCTCGAAATCTTTTGCAAGAAATGAACCGACTGACCTTTGTACAGAGATCTGAACGGTCCCTCACGAGAAGGGAAATGGGAAACAGCTGCGGCGGCAGAGATGGAGGAAGAAGGCAAGATTTGGAAACCGAAGAAATTGCTATGGCGGAAGAGACAACTCTGTAGAAGGCGAAACGTCCGTATATAACGAGCAAAGAAAATTTTCCGTTTCTGGGGCCTGCCGATTGCCGGACTCGTTTTCCTTTGCATTTATTATTATTTTATTTAATTGAAAACTAGCCCACCTATTTTTCCAAAATTTTATTTTAAAAATAACCTTAAAATTTAAAAATTAAAAAAAAAAAAAAAAAAAAAAATCTTAGAATTAAGCGGGACAGAGTGAGCTTATCTTAGTGATGACCATTCCAACTTCAAATTTTTTAGTTAAATGTATAATATGTATTTCTTTAAATTATAACCTAACAATTCTATCGCTCGCTCATTGAAGTGACCTTAGTTCAGTGGTAACGAGTTCGAAAATTAAAATCTTGTATTGTAAGATCCCACATCAGTTGGAGTGGAGAATTACCGGACGTTGGTAGATTATGAGGACGCTGGAAAGCTCCCACATCAATTTGAGAGGGGAATCAAACATTAGATGTGGAAATTTCTCTCTCGTGGATACGTTTGAGGGGAATCCCGAAAGCCCAATTAGGACAATATATGTTAGTGGTGGACTTTAGCTATTACACGTAACCCATTTACATGTGAGAGCAAATATTCAAACCTCAAATATATATATTTTTTTAGATATATAATATTTTAACCAACTAAATTATATTTATTGTTATAGAAAAGAAAATAAATAATATCGAGAAACATATGGAAGTTTATTTATTTATTTATTTATTTATTTTTATTTTGTTTATCAATAATATAAACAAAAATAATAATAATAATACAAAAGTAGCTTAGATTAAGGTAAGGTCCAAAGTTTAGGCTTTCAAATTAATGAAATTTAAGATTAATTAGACATTAAGGTTTCTGTTACATTTAATGCACATTTGACCAAACATAAAATACTTTACTTTTTTTTTAATAAAATCAATTAAATAATTTTAAAATATTTAAATATTGTTCGAAAAAAATTGTGAATAAATCCACCAGTAAAATTGAATTTTTTTTTTTTAAAGTTAAATAGTAACCAACTAAGTGGGAGAGGACATCACGGTCATGCTCGTCTAAGGCGTGTTGCCCATGCCCGCATGCCATGACAAGCCAAACCCTTTTTTATTTTTAGAAAGTATGACGTTTTAGAAAAATAATGTCTAGGCCTCATGAAATGTATCAGAATGTACTATAGGAGATATGACTAGTTGTCAACTTCTTCCTACCAATAGTTATATACTGAGCCGTTGTTGTTACTCTCTTGCTTGCATATATAACGTCTCTTTCAAAATCTCTCTCTTTCCTTGTCTTTTTAAATCGAGACTAGAGGCTCGAGCATACGTCGCTTGGCTGTAGGCGCGTAAGAACGAATTGGCTTAGCTCACTTGTCGTTGGAAAGTGAGTGTCGCACAATCGCAATTCCGCTGCCATCAAGAGTGCGATTGTGACAAGTGCGACCCCATCGTCTCCACCTCGTAGAAACTACGAGATCACCCCAAAGATGCCTTCGGTATCCAGGGGTCTTGGACTGACCATAGAATCGAGGTCGCTAAAAGTTCACGCATCTAAAAATTAAAATTCTCGATATATATTTTTATTATAAACTTTAAAAAATGAAATAAAATTGAATTTAATAAAGGGTTGACTTGCTTAATTTTTGGATCTATATTGCAATGGATCTCGCCTAATACTTTTGAGGTATTTTTATCTTAACGTGTGAGCAACTTAGCATTGAAGAAAACTAGCAAAATCAAATTACATTATCACCCCTGTAACATAATTTGTTCGTAACGGCTTAGATCCACCGCTAGCAGATATTGTCCTCTTTAGACTTTTCCTTTCGGGCTTCCCTTCAAGGCTTTAAAATGCGGGACATCACAATCTACCTCATTCGAAGCCCAACGTCCTCGCTGGCACTCTTTCTTTCCTCTAATCGATGTGGGACCGCCCCTAAATCTATCTCCCTTTGGGGCAAACGTCCTTACTGGCACACCGTCTCGTGTAGAATTTAAAGTTATTTAAAAAAAACATTTAAGAATTAAATTTTGAGTTAAAAGTTATAAATGAGTCGTTAATCTTAATTAAATATTCAAAAATAAATCAATAAATAAATATTTTACGAACGACATGATCATTCTCCATTCCAACAATCCTCCCCTCAAACAAAGTATGTTGTAGAGCCTTTCTTGAGGCTTATTGAGCCCTCGAACAGACTCCCGTTAATCGAGGCTCGACTCATTTTCTGGTCTTGGAATAAAGTACACCCTTTGTTAGACACTTTAGGGCATAACTCTCATAACATGATAGAATTTAAAGTTATTAAAAAGAACATTTAATAATTAAATTTTCAGTTAAAGTTATAAATGAGGGGTAAATCTTAATTAAATATTTATAAATAAATAAATAAATATTTTACCACTAATATTTTTACTTTTATTAAGCAGATACCCTAGGCCTTTGAGCTTTCGAACAACCTCTCCTTAATCGAGGCTCGACTCCTTTTTTGGAGTCTTCGAACCTAGTGCACCCTTTGTTCGACACTTTAGTCACTTTTGACTATACCTTCGAGACTCACAATACTTTGTTTGACATTTGAGGATTCTATTGACATGGCTAAGTTTAAGGCATGACTTTGATACCATGTTAGGAATCACGGATATCCACAATGGTATGATATTGTCTACTTTGAACACAAGCTCTCATGGCTTTACTTTGAGCTTCCCGAAAAGGTCTCATACCAATGAAAATCTATTATTTGTTTACAGAGCCATGATCATTCCCTAAATTAGCCAATGTGGCAACTTGAACAACTTAAACTAACCCAGAGTTCATTATTTAATAACCCGAATATTTGGATTGGATCTAAAAAATGATCAAACTCGACCCAATTCAGCCAACGAACACCTTACGTCATCATAGTAGATGATTGTTTATCCTTTAGCAGACTTTATCGATAATGCAAGATAGAATTTAGTCCAACCTCGTACATATGGTGTGTGAAACCCGAGTATTTAGTAAAGAACAGTGACACGTCTTTATTTGAAAGACAACGAAAATAAAGTAAGAATATATATTTTATATACTGATTGACGAAAAGTCAAAATACAATGTAATTCCCGTTATATAGCTTAGTATTTATCGATAATTTTATCCGTATTAGTATATTAGATGTGACAAATTTTCAGTATGAAAGACTAGAGATATTTAAAAAAAATGAAATAATACAATGCTACATAGTTAACAAAGATGTTACGTATATAGGACAAACTTAATTTCAATGTCACATCAAATAAAATAAAAAAATAAATAATTATAAGCTATTAGAAAGAAAATGTCTCTATACGCGCATTTTTTTTATTTGTTTTATAATTTTATTCTAAAAATAGTTTAAAAATTGAAAATTAAGTTATTGATAAGTAAATACAACAAAATCAAAATTAAACCAACAATTAGATTAAATTACAAATTATCCGTCCATTTAAATAACCGAACTACAAATGGTCGATGTCTCTCTACGAGACGTTACCTCTACATGACAATATGAGACTATATGATATTTTACCTAGGGGTGTACTGAGTACCTCCTAGGTCCATGATAGTCCCTTTCATTGGAGGCACGACTTCTCCTTTATCTAATGGGCTGTAGGACGTGGGCTCACATTTTCCATGTGAAACGGCAAGGAGTTGTGGGTACTGATTAGGAAACCCGGTCATAAAATTTGAAATTTATATTTAACATTTAAAATTTTAAAATTAAAAATTTAGTACTTAAAAAATAAAATATATAGTTTATATATTTAAATTCCATTTCTATATTTTTTATAAATTAATTAACTTTTTTTTTTATAAAAAAATATTTTATTAAATTTCATGAATATATTTAATAGCATTTTTTATTATATAAAAATTAGGATATTATTTTAATAAAGACCAATGGTAAGATTTATTGAAATTTTATAGATTAGATTTAGAAATTTGAAAATAAAATAAATTTTATTTTAAGCTAAAATTTTAATATTAATATTTTTTAGCTAAATTTATTAATTAATAAATTAATTTATAATATTAGTATTATAAATTAATATTTATAATAAATTATAAAAAACAACGCCCTTCGCCTCTTTATTCCCCCGTTCTCCACGAACCAGGCCTTCCCTTTCGCTATCTCTTTCCATTCCCCATTCTTTGGCGCCTATAAATACTCCCTCCCCTCCCTTCCTCTGTCACTCTCTCTCACGATTTTCTTCAAACACCTTCCGGGCACGTGGTGGTCGGTCTTCTCCTTCCTCCTCGTTCTTCCATGGCCGCCGACGGCGTCCTACGCCCCGTCTACGAGGCTTGCATCGCCGGCTGTGACTCCGAGATCCACCGTCGTCCCTACCACCGCAACTGCGGCTGCGCTCTCCACGAATCCCGCCGTCAACTTTCTCACTGCTACCATTCCAAGTACAAATCCGTCTGCTATCCCATTCGCCGATCCTGGAGCGAAGGTTGCTTGACGCTCGCCCTCGCCTCTCCTTCCTCTTCCCCTGTCGTCGGTAAGTCCTCACAGCCTGGTGCCGCTTTGAGCGACGACGACGACGACGCTCCTGTTCAGTTTACCAGGAGTTGATTTTTCCGTTCTTCGTATTCTTTTGTTTTCTACAATTTTTCTGCCCTAGATGTTTAATCATTTGTAACCAGATGAGATGAGATGAGATGCGGTTTTTAATTGTGACTTTTTTATTTTATTTTTTTCCATGTTTCTGTGATCTGAAAAACGTTATCGGATCCGTTCGTGTGTTTTGAGTCGTGTTTTACAATTTGCAGTGATATAGATGGCGAGGATTGAAATTTGGTCTTCTTTGTGTCTGGAGAACAGTTGGTGATTAAGATATGCGATCTTACGTTTGTTTTTTTTTTTTTTTTGGTTTATGCACATATATATCTTTTTTTTTTTTTTTTTTTTTTT